AAGTGTTAGCATGGCTTCATCATTCACAAATTCCTCTTGACCCCTTAGTTGGAAAACATTTTTAAATGCTGCAAATCATATTGGTCTCTTTTCCCTAGTCATCTTTGCCTCACAAATTTTAGAGTGTCCTGTTCAGAAGCAGCATGATATTAGAGATTCAAGACTTGGAAAACAGTATTTTTGGAGAAAATCTGGTCTTAGTTTTGAGAAAACACTTCAATTAGTATATTGACCCAAAGACTACACCAAAATCCTACTCTGGAATTATATTTGTGAACAAAAGGAGCTAATTTATTTTGCAAATCAATGTAAAACATTGTCTTCCTTGTATACAGATTGAATTGCTGGTAAGCTATGATGATGATGACATCTGAGTTTGAGGTAAATCTTTCCTTTTTCCAACTGAGCTCCAGACAAGGGAGTATAGTTTGACTCTAGCCTAGAGGACATTTTCCAAAGACACTCTGAGGGACAAGAATCTGATGTGAGATCCGGACAAAGGACAGAAACATCTGGTCCAAGTCTTCAGAGAGGAATATGATCTCTGGACTCCAAGAGTAATTATTATGTAGATACAGCATCTAGAGGTGCTCTCCCCCCACCTTTATTATATAAGCCTGGAGAAAAATCTAGAGCCCTGATGTGGCTATGCTTTGGCAACTGAGCAAAGCACACCGGACTGCTGGGAAGAGGCAGTAGAGAGGTCAAAAGCATCTCAGAGAAAGTAGGGAAAGGATTTCAAGAAGTCATCATGAGAGTCTGTGGGGAAGAAGCTGACTGGGTCCCAAGAGCCTACCAGTACTTTTGTATTACTCTTGAGAGGTACAAACATTCCTCAGAAGCACACCAGTATTATGGTGAGAGGCAAAAGAGTGTGTGTGTGTGTGTTACTGGGGAGTGAACCCAAGGACTTTGCACTGAGCTGTATTCTCAGCCCCTTTTTTTATTTTTTGAGACAGACTGTCACTAAGTTACTGAGTTGGAGTTGCCCAGGCTGGGCCCAAATTTTTGCTCCTCCTGCCTTGGTCGCCCAGAGTGTTGAGATTAAAGGGATGTATAAGAATGTTCTTAGAGACCATCACACACAATGTGGGATGCTTACCTTTGAAGCCTAAAGATTTTGAGCCTGCTTTTGCTGGAGTTTTGAGTCTTCTACACTGGTTGAGATTCACGTGAGAATTTACAAATAGGTCCAATTTTCTGAGAACACACATTTAAAAACCTGTCGTAATCTTTGTTCCTTGTCTTAAACAGATTTTGTACCCTGAAATACATACCAAATATAAGCAGCTAAAATATTTAAATCCTATATAAAAGCATCTTGCTAGCCAGGCACAGTGGCATATACCTATAATCCCAGCTATTTGGTAGGCTGAGGCAAGAGGCTCTTAAATTTAAGGCCACCTTGGGCATCCTAGTGAGATGTGTCTCAAAAAATAAAAATGGCTAAGGATGTACCCC